AAAGCTCCGTTTTCGTGACGGATTACTGTGGAAGGTGGGTCTAACCGTAGAAATAAAGCTGCGTTTTCAAATTTTCCCGGCGTAGAGAGGACAGGGCCTTAAAACTAATCCAACACCTATTAAATTTTTGGATTAAAGTATAGCCTCCGTGGTAAAATGGTTGGATTAAAAGGGAAAACATAAAACGATTTGTTCCGATGTTTTAGTTTTCTTTTATATATTCTACTGCTTCACTCACAAACTCCATTAACCTTTCCTAACTCCTAACATTTCTACTGAAGAGACGCCAGATTCTAAATCGGTTTTTGATATAGCGTATTGTACGTTTGACTAAAACTCAGGGAATAATAAGAGAGCGAGATGTCAGCATTAGTAATTAGTCATGCGCAATTGTTAAGGTTTTGTGGCAGTTTTGTCCCCAATTATATAAAGAACTGATGCTAAAGAAATATTCGTCACAACCGGTGGAAACAGTGTATGGAATGATTCTTGTCACGTGACTCGTTAGCACTGGTTCATTTCTGTTGTTTTTAACACCATGGCTTTGGTCCAGCATTCAACACCAAACTCGTATCTGTTATAGTGGAATGCTTTGGTGCGGAAATCTAAGCTAGAGAACATCTTTTGGGTATTCCAATATATAAAAAAAAGATTGCTTCAATATATTCAGTGTTTTACAGTTCAAATACGATAGAAACATCCAATTAGGGCATAGTTAAACACTTCGCCTACAATGCTAAAATTTAGAGTCGTGGGCGAGAAAGGTTCTCGCTAAAAGTGTTGCATTACGAGGGGGTGAAAAGGTTTTCGGATCGACGGATTTGGCCTTAAAAAGTGCACGGATTGTGGATTTTTGCGGTAAATTGAGCGGATTTTCGATCGAAACACAGTGGATCGTGGATCAGCTGTGAATTTTAGCGCAGATTCCGGATTTTGCCTGTCTAAACGAAATTTGGATCATGGATCTTTCTTCAGCCTTGGTCGGTATGTTAATGAGTTCATCCAAATTATTTCACCCCCCTCATTACGTCGGTCATTGAAAGAGTGTAAAGAGCTTTAATCTTCTTCAGAAAAACCCAGTTCCTTTCTTTAGTATGAGTCAAAGATCTAGACGCGTAGCTGTAGTTTCGTCTATGGACAATTTTATTTTATCACCATATAAACTCACCAAAAAAATTTAACCCTACAGACTGAAATGACAAATTTTCAATAGATCATTAAAAAGATGAAATGTCATGTCGTTCGAACCATTTCCTTCTCAAACTAATAAATAATCCATCAAGTTAAAACAAAGAAAATCACAACCGTGAAGGAGGTTTGGATACCCGGTATTAATTAGCAAAGATTTTGACGACTTTACTTCTCCGTTTACCTCTTAGTTTTTGTTTTGATCGAGAGGATATATCAAACACTCGAGACAGTGTTTCATCGGCTATCCAAACATCCCGAATTTCGTCAAAAATACTCCCCTGCGCGTCGTATTTTCAACTCTCTTCTCGGTGTTTGGATATCCCGTTGAAACATTGTGTCTCGTTTTTGATATATATCGGGCTTTTAAAATGTAGATTAGCTAAACAATCTTAATTATTACACAATTTATGGGCATTGGCACTAAAGCTAATGAGGAAACCTGGTGCTATTGCTGAATCTCAATATCTTCGATTTTAAGAGCGTAATTGAGCAAAATCTGACTCGTGACGGTAATCGATCCTAAACTGCTGCTATACCGAAAATCACCGACCATACGAAATAGCTCAGTACATGCATTGCGGGTAAGCGCCGTAACTATAACAGTTAAAACCATGTTTAAACAGGCCACGGCAGTATTCATGAAAATAACCTTTAGCACCACAACACAGGTCGTGCTCGTAACATCCTTGATTCCAGCAGCAGTCACCACAGACAAATTTCCAGCACCAGCACTTCGGACCACACATGCCTCGGCAGTTGTTACTGTATGGATCGCTTCTCAAGTCCAGGCAGCGCTTCTGTCTGTGATGATCGTGCAAGCTAAGTTCAACTTTAAGCTCGGCTGGGGCCTGTACGTTCGATGAGCTTAGCAGGAGGAGACTTAAGGCGTAAAATGGCTTCAGGATTTCCAGCTGGGTACTGTTATCCTTGAGCGCCTCTTGAAGTAGCTCAAGCAGCTGAATTTCTCGGGTGTAGTGGAGCTCAGTCATGGCCTCTTCGTAGTGAGCTTTTGTGGATTCAAGTTCTTCGGTCTGTCTTTGTTCAGGAGGGGAAGCTTTCATCAGCGCTAAATAGTCCAGAAGTTCCTCGCGATTTCTTGGAACGTCCTTAGGAATATAGACCATTATCCCGTCAACACTTGGGAGAGAGGAAAAAAGAACATGAATCCGCGGATCATGTCAAGCTCTGTTTTTTTTTTTAATAATTGTTAACAAAAATTCCATGGGAACTTGTGTTACTCGTGATCATTTTAAAAGGTAAAATTTGCTTGCGCATGTAATCACTAACAGTTATTTATTAGGGCTACGACGTGAAAGAGTTCCTCGTAGATCCAGGGTTATTAGCAAAATAATAAATGTGACGCATGACAATTCGTGAGGAAACCGAGGACAGATACATGCATTAAAAAACGGGCAACAGCCCTTCCAGGCGGTTCTCATTAGTACAGTATTTTTTTTTCAATTTGAAAGGAAAACGTTGAAACCGGTATTCACACGTTCAGTTCATCTAGAAGGTTAGAGAAAGATCTTTCGACAATTTAAGCTAAAACGGTTGTTTTCATACCCGAGAAATGCCTGATCCAGTACTTGGTAGAAGAAAGAGTCCGGATAAAGATCTTGGTCAACAAAAATGTTTTCTCCAGTAGTCTTCAGAAGCCTCATTGAATGCTGCTGAACATCGAAGCAGATACCTAGCGTATTGTTGTAGTAGTAACAGCCTTTGACCTGTTTCAGGCTCGCTGTACTTCTCTAAGTCGAGACCTTGAATTGCGTCTCTGGACTCTGCAAAGTTTCTGGCGGACACTAGAAAAACGATAAAACTCAAAACCAGCCGAGGAATATCTTTGCAACTAAATGAAACATCGTGAAGAGCTTCTTTGTTCAGTAAACCGACGATTTCTGACTGAATCTACTTTGTAAAAGATCGAATTTATACCATCAGCCAAGCTTTACTGAAACTTCCTCATCAGTGCAGTTGGGTGTGCAGATGTGCGTGTTATTTCTTTGAGCGTAAAAAATTTGCTGAACGTATTGGAAAGCACCTACACTGGTACGTGTTTTATTTGCTCTGGTTTAGCTATTTCCTTGATTCTAAAGGCTTCCCTCATTGATGCTAAACGTGACTTTTTATGCTATAATCTCAAGTTCAGCAAGACGCACACAGTTGAAATGTTAATACTAGATACAGCACCATATCTCAACAGTGCTAAGAGAAATGACGGTGAAGCCTGGAATTGAAGTTAGTAGGCGAGTGGACAATTCTCATGCCCAAACGTCTTTGAAATCATGGGAATTTTAGGTTTTTCTCAGACATTTTTACCAGTGCTACTTTGCGCCATTAAAAGGGGAACTCTTATATGACTCTGCATTGATTTCAAAGAATTGAGACTGCAGGTATTAGTTTCTAAGAAACTGTCGAATGGATCGACGGGCAAGTGAAACACTTAGCTATTCATCAACTTGAAAGTGATAAAGGGAAATTAATCGGCAGTTATTTGTTGACAGAGTCAACAGCTTAAGATCCAACTATCTAAATATTTGATCTGTTTTTTTTTTTTCACGCAAAACACGTCCGTGATGAATTTACTAGTTTGAAAGTCGTTTATTTCGACGTTCACGCTGGACGATTGTAAATCGCGCACCGGTGCAACTTTTTCGTTCAGCAAATCGGCGATACCGACAAGTAATTTGTAAAAGGTGGAATAAATTTCACCTACGAAGTTACTGATTAAGTCAGTGATTGTTTCCTTCAGGCTGAAGGCTTCAGCACACGGCAAACAACAACTTATTAGTAAACGCAAACCGAGATTCCTTGGCGCAGCTGTGAGGGGAAGAGGGGGCGAGGTACCTAACAAAGTTTCGTACGCGGAGGCTCCGCGTCATTTTTGGTCATTTTTGACAGAAGAGGAGACTCTTTCATACTGTGCCTCCTTAGAAAAACGGTACGCCTTTCATACAACCACAGTAGATCTAGTGCATTCATTAACCGTAAGGTGAGTTTGTTCGAGATGTTTTGAAAAAGCTTTCAAAATACCTGTTAAAATAAAATCGAAAATTTCCCGTCGTTTTCTTACACTATAAAATGGTATCGCTTTCAGGCGGAGCCAGTCCCCCGTACAATCCACCGTATAAGGGAATCCCCCCGGTTCCTATACTGACAGAGAAGTTTGTTTTAAAGACAAGCAAACCTATGCTATAAAACATACAATGAGATGAATAAACCCCTATAATAATCAAAGGTTCCTGAGAGCTACTTCACGGATTATTATATTAGGCTAGGGCTGAAAGATAGACTGGGGGGATAGGAGCATTAAATGAAGAACATGGATTTACGATTCCGTCGGCTCAGAACAGAGTAAGAAACATTTCTTCACTGTATGTTTTCAATTTGAATGAAAGATACATACACGGTAAAAAATCACCAGGTACAATAAATTCCAATAAAACGTCTAAGATCC